TTTGTTTTTTAATTCAATGGGACAATGAAAGAGAATGAAGACACAATTGGGAAATTGCTCCTGTATTGCGTATAATTATTTTTACTAATAAATTGGCAATATGCTTCCGAATGGTCATTCTGCTAATTTTTTTAATTGTACATTATTCATAGTCCATTTTATTTTCTTGAATTGAATCAATTTCTTTCCAACTAATTATTTTAGATTTTCCACTTGACGAAATTCTAAAAATTTCTGAAAATTTCTATAAAATATTATTAGGAATATTCTATTTATACATAATTGAATGCATTCGAAACATCACATTTAAAGGAACCATCGGCAAGCTAACTTTCCGGGGAATTTATGAACAATTCGAAATTTCTAAAAATTATCCTAAAAATCAAATTAACCGAGACAGTTATTGTAACTATTTTCTAACTTCGGTATAGTCGCATAGAAACAAACATATTAATCTACGGAATTCTGATTTTCGAAAAATAGGAAATTTTGGAAAAATTTCACAGAAATCGAAATAACGATTATTGCTATCGCTTTCATCTTCGAACGCGCTCAAAGGGACATTCCAACGAATTTTTCAAGCCGTCATTCAATGAATTTCGACGGCTTATTTTATTTTTTTTTATATATATATTTTTTTTTTATTATGTACAAACCCTTCTCGGGTTATTTACAAAAACTGTGCGGCTATTTTAAATTCTAATTCCATTTTTCTTAACAAATTCATGTATCATTTCTAATGGTTTTAAATTCTTGGATACCAGGAATGCATTTATGGTAAATGGTCTAGGGCATCGTAATTCAACCAATTTGTTAATCATTTGTTCCCTTCCTTTGTTATAACGAGGACAATACCAAATTACATGTTCTATATCTTGTGTCTCAGAGTTATCTCCGCAAATGCATTCCGGGCTGCTTACAATATTTTTCCTGTACAAATTTTTTTTTTTTTTTTAGTTATCATGTTACAACTGAATTTTGAAACAATTCGAAAATTAAAAAAATGAATCAATGAATTAAATTTCAATTAATGGGGATGGATAGGGTTTAGCAGCACCTACACTTGAGAAAAAAAAATCAATTCCATCTATTCATTAGCGAGAAATTAAAGAAAAAGTTTGTTACATACGAACGTACGGACACCGTCTAAAAAATGCATTTTCGGACTTTTGGGATCGTAATGTCGATATAACTCAAAAAAAGGAATAAAAGGAAGCAAAAATGTCTCGATGAGAATGGAATCAGACAGGATGAGATCATCCACTCGATATCGATATCCGATCGTGACTACTGCGAGGATTAAACCGTGTAAACGACCACTGAGACGAATGTTTTATAGAGCTGCCGCTTCGTTCCGAGTCTTCGCACTACGGCCCGTATCTACTGACGCTCCAGCCCCCATGAATCGTTCGATACGGATCGAGTACGACTCACCGGCGTAACTGGCAGTTGGTCGTTTTTCTCAGTTCCCTCAGCCACTGGGGGGTACGTATGCACATTCAGGCGCATTACCGGGCGGGATAATTGAGACGTGTCAGTGAGGAGGCGAAAATCTGGCTGATGGGCACGATCCATCGACGTTTGTCGTTGGCATGCCGACGAGATTAAAGACTGGTGGGTTAGGTGCACATAAAATGCGCCGACACAAGGCGCCGAGAAAATTATTGACTACCGTGGGCATTACCTCACTGTGAGGTCATAAAATTTTGCAGATTTTTTCCTTTCAACCCGCACCAAATTGTGGGGATGCGTAGCAGAGTGCGTTTTTACGATGTTTGATTGGAAATAACGAGAACATTTTTATTCTTTCGTTTTTTAGCTCAATTTCACATTCGAAAATTCATGATTTTTTCTGATTTATGGTGACAATTTATATTTTTGTATTTTTAAACTGTTGAATGAAATGAATGAAAGAAAAACAACTCAAGTCATGTTTTGCAATTAAATTGCGGGAGAATAATTGACATTTTGTGGATTTAGGAGGACAAAATAATGACATATTCACTTGAATTTTATTAATCTCCCTTTGATTGGAAATTGCGAGAACATTTTTATTCTTTCGTTTTTTAGTTCAATTTCACATTAAAAAATTCATGATTTTTTCTGATTTATGTTGACAATTTATATTTTTGTATTTTTAAACTGTTGAATGAAATGAATGAATGAAAGAAACACAACTCAAGTCATGTTTTGCAATTAAATTGCGGGAGAATAATTGACATTTTGTGGATTTAGGAGGACAAAATAATGACATATTCACTTGAATTTTATTAATCTCCCTTTGATTGGAAATTGCGAGAACATTTTTATTCTTTCGTTTTTTAGCTCAATTTCACATTCGAAAATTCATGATTTTTTCTGATTTATGGTCACAATTTATTTTTTTGTATTTTTAAACTGTTGAATGAAATGAATGAAAGAAACACAACTCAAGTCATGTTTTGCAATTAAATTGCGGGAGAATAATTGACATTTTGTGGATTTAGGAGGACAAAATAATGACATATTCACTTGAATCTCCCTTTGATTAGAAATTGCGAGAACATTTTTATTCTTTCGTTTTTTAGCTCAATTTCACATTCAAAAATTCATGATTTTTTCTGATTTATGTTGACAATTTATATTTTTGTATTTTTAAACTGTTGAATGAAATGAATGAAAGAAAAACAACTCAAGTCATGTTTTGCAATTAAATTGCGGGAGAATAATTGACATTTTGTGGATTTAGGAGGACAAAATAATGACATATTCACTTGAATTTTATTAATCTCCCTTTGATTGGAAATTGCGAGAACATTTTTATTCTTTCGTTTTTTAGCTCAATTTCACATTCGAAAATTCATGATTTTTTCTGATTTATGGTGACAATTTATATTTTTGTATTTTTAAACTGTTGAATGAAATGAATGAAAGAAAAACAACTCAAGTCATGTTTTGCAATTAAATTGCGGGAGAATAATTGACATTTTGTGGATTTAGGAGGACAAAATAATGACATATTCACTTGAATTTTATTAATCTCCCTTTGATTGGAAATTGCGAGAACATTTTTATTCTTTCGTTTTTTAGCTCAATTTCACATTCAAAAATTCATGATTTTTTCTGATTTATGTTGACAATTTATATTTTTGTATTTTTAAACTGTTGAATGAAATGAATGAAAGAAACACAACTCAAGTCATGTTTTGCAATTAAATTGCGGGAGAATAATTGACATTTTGTGGATTTAGGAGGACAAAATAGGGACATATTCACTTGAATTTTATTAATCTCCAGAAAAAACTAAATGAGAAGAAACTGAATAAACTAAAAAATCAGCGTGAAATCCGGACCAAATTATGGGGATGTGTAGCACAGTGTGTTTTTACGATGTTTCATTGAAAATCACGAGAAAATTTTTATTCTTTCGTTTTTTAGCTCAATTTCACATTCGAAAATTCATGATTTTTTCTGATTTTAGTTGACAATTTACAGTTTTGTATTTTCAAACTGTTGGATAAAATGAATGAAAAAAAAACAAACTCAAGTCATATTTTGCAATTAAATCGCGGGAGAACAATTGACATTCTGTGGATTTAGGATGACAAAATAATGAAATATTCACTTGAATTTCATTAATTTCTATTGATGTTCATTATTGAGGTATTCAATGAGTTTCCCTGCAATTTGCACAATTATTTTTGCTATTTTATATGCAATATTATTATAATATAACTGTCTTATAACTTTATATCTTAATTCCGCAGAATAAATTATTGTCCTGATAAAGGAAAATAAGGGTTTTTCTTTTGGATCTTCTAATTTTCATCATTTCAACTCCCCTCAAACCTCAAACGACCGTACCTGCCCGAGCCCTTCGAGTTTCCCCGATATTCATGCAATAATTGACCACAAATTCGCAGTTGCCATAGATTTGTCCACCAGATAACTAACTTTTACCGTCGACATTCCCCAAAATTCTCGTGAACCTGTCCCTCCAAGAAATTGAAAACCCACAAAGTCCCCAACCCCCGACAAGTGCCCCAATCCTCCCCGCAAGTTCACCATCGCCGAGCGTCGCCTTCCACCTCTCATAACCCCCCCGATCCCGGCGATTGGATGATGTTACTCTACTTGCAGTATTTCACTTTCACTAACCCCGGAGGCCTCCCACGAGCTCATCTCCGGTGTCTCCCCTCCCCTCGATTCACCCAGAGTTGTACCGATGGGTCACTCACCACGTTCGCCAGTTGAGGTCGCCCTCCCACCTCTCATTTTCCCCCTCGTTTTTCCCAGAACATACCCCACCTCCAGCTCCCCACAAGGGGCAGTCCACTTACCCACATTTCGCGTATTTAATCCCATCTCTCTCCAGCACCGAGTCAAAAAAAAGGCGAGAGAGGGCAAGAATCAGCGGACTCACCGAGACACCCCATCACCACTGGTGGGAGATTTGACAATTGGGGGTGCTTAACCAGGGGTATATATTGTCAGTCCAACACCTCCACCATCAGTCACCTCTCTGACTTTACGAATACCAAGTGTTAACCTCAGACTAGCACCGGTGAGTCTCCCGTACTCTGGCATCTCCAGCAATAATTCAAGTTCTCCATTATTTTTATTTTGCCAAACAATGGGTTCATGTGCGGATTGTGCGGTTCTCCCCTTAATCCAACGAGTCAACTATCCAATAAACCTGAAATTGGAGTGCTCTCCTGCTCAGATGGAGTATTAACTCCCGATCAGTTTCATCGTTGTTTCGAGTAGAAACAATTCAACTGAAGTTTGATTACAGCTTTTCACTCTCTCGGATGTTACAATCGTGGAGTCAGGAGTACTTTCCATTATCGTGGGCAACCGCGAAGAGATAATAAACCCCGGGGGGGGGAATGTCGGGGGCATTGTTGAAGATGTCAATGACAATGGAACAGTCAAGTTCGATTGTCGGAGGAATTGAGTTTCGTAATTTTGGATTTCATTTTTTAGGTGATTTTACGGTGACGAGACAGCTATCAGCGATCATGAGGAGGTGGCTGCTGTGGATGGGTGAGTGATTATTTGTTTCTTTATTTTCGGTTCATTATTGTTCAGCAAATTGCCTCTGACGACACATACCGCATGCAGAATTCAATCATATCTCGTTGCAATGGTGTAATGGTAATATCATTATTTGAATGGTTTTCTCTCGTTACTTTTTTTTTTCTTCATTTTCGTAATTACTGGGGGGGACTTCGACACATCTCCGTGATTCTTATTTCATATAAACTTGGGTGGCTTCTCAATCCGTAAATGAGGGACAGTTTTGCAATGGGTCGCGGTAACAATGAGTGTATTATTGAAAGTACCGAAAACACGTGGAGAGTTATTGCGCTAGATGCCGCATTCTGTGAAACGAATGTTTCGGCGGGTGAAGATGGGAAGGGGGGGAGGTGTTGTAACTTCCTCTAATTAAAATGGGTTGGAGATTAAGTTTCGTGGCTCACAGACAAGGGCATTGTTCCGAGTTTGCTGCGTGTGGTTGTGAGGAGGCTCTTGGAGGCGTTGGGGTGGTGGGCATAAAGGTCAAGTGTATCCACACGCTGGAACAGTCTTTCGGTTTTTTGGGAAAAGCTTTTTTTAGGCAATGACAGTTTCGATTTATTTTGTGAGTTTAGAATTTTTTTTAATGCGGAGGGAGTTTTTGAAATTGTTTTGCTGAATTTATGAATCAGTCATTTGCAAACGTCAATTTTTTAATTAAACTGCGGGAGAAAGTTCGGAGTTTTATGGATTTGAGGAGAAAAAATGAAAATGGAGAATTGTTAATTACGGAATTCTATACAATTTAATTGAAACTGTCATTTGAAGAGAATTTCAAACCACGGCATCGGTAATTTTTTATGCTAATTTTCAACAATACATATTTTTTTATTCATATTTAATGAAAATTGTTTGAACTTGAATTAAAAATTTACAAAAATGAAAATGTTTGAGACATGAAAAAAAAAATTTTCATAAAAAATACATTGAAAGTTTTTTAACATCTACAAAAACTTCAGAACACAAAAATGTAATTCAAATGAGAAAAATGATGATTCAAGTACAATTTAGTCAGTACGAGGCACTCGAATTACGTCAACCTGTTTGTGTGAATTTTTAGGGGTTTAAAGAAAGAAAAATGCGAATTTTTAATAACGAAATTCCATAAAATTTCAATAACTCAATATTTATGAATAATGAAAATTATTTGAACTTCAGTTGAAAATTTACAAAAATGAAAATGTCTCAATAATTTAAAAAAATCTTCATAAAAAAATACATTGAATTTTTTTAACATCTACAAAAACTTCAGACCACAAAAATGTGATTCAAATTAGAAAAATGCTGATTATACAATTCCCTTCAAATTTCTCACGCAATCGATCCAAAAATTGATATTTCATGATTATTAAACTACAGTTTACTCAGTACGAGGCGTTCGAATTACCTCAACCTGTGGTCCCTAGAAAAAAGCAAATTAGCAAAGTTGCACTAAATGCACGACATGTAAGTCATTATTCACTTAACACCTCCAACTGAATTCTCCATCTCCCGAGACAAATACCTGTGAATTCAGCTCTTACAAAAACGTCGAATAGCATGGGTGGGAGTGGGTAATTGTACGCACGCGATGCTGAGAATAGTAACCCAGTCGACAGAAAGTGTGTGATGATCGTCTCCCCACAGTTCTCCCGAGTGCTGCGTGCGAAATTTAGGAATGGGATTCGTCAGTGAAATGATTTGAAAAATCTGTGACATAACTTCCCGTTAATTAATTAGGAGCATTGTCGGTATGTCAAGACAGGGCTTAAGTTTACACTCGTTTCTCACCACTCTGCACCCGTAATTTTATGAAAATTTCAAGAGCCGCATTGTTCCCGCGGCAATTTCGCCATCGCGGGTGCCAAATAACTCCAACTACTCCGAATAATTTGATTTTTTTTCTTTCAGCCTGGCTGGCCATCGCCGATGTTTCAACGGTAAGTCCCCACTTCCTCCCTATTTTCCACGATAAATACGAATAAATTGCAAATGCAAAAAATTCTCAACCCCGAGAGCAAAGCGAAATCGATGGAAATTGTTTCCGACGCTCCGAGGAATTCGAACTTCGTGTCCTCCTCGCGGGCAAACGCTCGTCTCCTTTGTCAGTGAAGTTGAGAAATATGATATGACAAAGAGAACTCGATATGGAATGACACGAAATTCCAAGATGAAAACGGGCAGGTCTTCCTGCGAGAAACTTCATTTTTTTTCCTCCACTTGCGCAATACTATGCATCTATCGTGCGATCGGCTCGTGGCACCGCATGATGTAATCTCGAAACCACGCGAGGGTAGAAGATAGTACAGATGGGAGGGGAGAGAAAAAAAAAGACAGAGTACGTCTCTGGTGTTAGCTTTTCGCGTGTTGCCCCCGGTGCCGAGGTCATTTCGTTCCTTTCTCCTTCTTTTCTCGTGTTTTCCTCATGTTTTTTTCCATGTCTCTGATCTAATCACTGATCTAGGAATCGAGATGGAAATGGATTAAGTGTTTTGTACTCAGTGGATGTTCCGATGTTTTAGGCGCAGGATGGGTATAATTATCCGGTGCCGAGCAATCCGCTGATTCCGGGAACATCTCCGAAGCCGCCAGGGGGCTTCCCGGGGACAGCGACGGATGAGTATCCTTCGCCGGGGGGATTCCCGGGGACGACGCCGACGACTACTTCACCAGGGAGACAACCGGGTTTTCCCACGGGCGGTTCCGGGGGTTATCCCAGTGGGAGACCTGGTGGAAGACCTGGTCAACCTGATCAAGGATACCCCAGTGGACGACCTGGAGGACGTCCGGGTCGGCCTGATCAAGGATACCCTAGTGGACGACCTGGTCAGCCTGATCAAGGATACCCTAGTGGACGACCAGGTCAGCCTGATCAAGGGTACCCTAGTGGACGTCCGGGTCAGCCTGATCAAGGATACCCTAGTGGACGTCCGGGTCAGCCTGATCAAGGATACCCTAGTGGACGACCTGGTCAGCCTGATCAAGGATACCCTAGTGGACGTCCGGGTCAGCCTGATCAAGGATACCCTAGTGGACGACCTGGTCAGCCTGATCAAGGATACCCTAGTGGACGTCCGGGTCAGCCTGATCAAGGATACCCTAGTGGACGACCTGGTCAGCCTGATCAAGGATACCCCAGTGGAAGACCAGGCGGACGTCCCGGTCAGCCTGATCAAGGATACCCTAGTGGAAGACCAGGCGGACGTCCGGGTCAGCCTGATCAAGGATACCCTAATAATCGGCCGGGTCAGCCCGGCGGTGAACCTGAAGGATACCCCCGTGACAGACCCTCCATTCCGTTCCCCGATCGTCCAGGACAGCCTCAACAGCCGGGCTACCCTGGCCAGCAGCCACAAGGACCAAATCGCCAACCAGACGGCTACCCACGAGACAGACCAGATCAGCGACCTGGATTCCCCTCTACGTCGAACAGACCCAAGCCAACATCGCAGCCTGGAGTCTCAGACGGATATCCTCGGGACAAACCATCAGGTCAATTCCCAGGTGATCGACCAGGGCAGGGACAGCAACCAGGTTTGCCGCGTCCTCAGGGCCCCGGCACACAACCGGGGCAGAGACCCGGGGGCCAGAGCCCCGGTTACCCTCGCGATAGACCATCAGTGCCATTCCCAGGGGGAGATAGACCTGATCAACCTCAACAGCCGGGTTATCCGGACACCTCTCAGAGGCCCGGTAGCTTCCCGGGAAAAAAACCGCCTTTCCAGCCAGGAACAAAGCAGCCCCCGCCGACATCGTTCGACGATTTTCCACGGGACAAGCCGGGTCAGGGGCAGCAGCCAGGTGTTCCTGGAGGACAGAGGCCTGGATTTCCTGGATATGATAGTGGAAGACCTGGCCAGGGGAAGCCTACGTTCCCTGGCGATGACATTGTTCCTCCTGGGCAGGATCGACCAGGATTTCCCGGTGGTCAACAGCCAGGTTATCCAGGTGGTCAACAGCCAGGTTATCCAGGTGGTCAACAACCAGGCCAACGACCCACTTTCCCTGGAGATGATATACTTCCTCCGCCAGGACAACGCCCAGGTTTCCCAGGTGGACAGCAACCAGGTTACCCTGGAGGACAGCAACCAGGTTTTCCTGAAGGACAGAAACCAGGTTTTCCTGGAGGACAACAACCAGGTTTTCCTGGAGGACAGCAACCAGGTTTTCCTGGAGGACAACAACCAGGTTTTCCTGGAGGACAACAACCAGGTTTCCCTGGAGGTCAACAACCAGGTTTCCCTGGAGGACAACAGCCAGGTGATGGCAGCGATGGTGATGATGGCTCTTACGACGAAGGCGATTACTCCGCTATTCCCGGAGAGCCCGGTCGCGATTATCCGATCTACTCTGAAATCCCAGAGACCGGCTTCAGTTGTGACGCTCAACCTTTTCCGGGCTACTACGCTGACGTCGAGACCCAGTGTCAAGTATTCCACGTCTGTGCTAACAACAAAACCTACGATTTCCTCTGCCCCAACGGAACCATCTTCCACCAGCAGTACTTCGTCTGCGTGTGGTGGAATCAGTTTGATTGCAACTCAGCTCCCAGTTTCTACTATCTGAACGAGAATTTGTACGATTATTCGCTTGTTGGAACGCCATCGCCACAGGGGCCATTTGGACCACAGGGTCCTGGGTTCCCAGGACCTGGTTTTCCAGGGCAGGGACCATCTGGTCCAGGTACGTTCATCATTATATCGACCACTGGGAGAAAGATGGAATTATTTTTTTTGGAGGGGGACTATTATATTATTATTTGAGATGGCATTGGGGGAATTCAGTACAAGAAGTCGTTTATTGAATTGTTTTTCCTCAGGCTTTCCGGGACAAGGACCGAGCCCAGCACCAGGCTTCCCAGGCCAGCCACCTCAAGGACCTTCCGGACCAGGTGAGTCACACATTTTAATTCCTGAAGAGTTTACCACATTCCAATGGAATTGGACTGAACACTAATTGTGCATCAGGCTTCCCAGGTCAAAGACCATCTGGCCCCGGCTATCCAGGACCACAAGGACCGGATGGTTATCCCGGACAACGACCATCTGGACCAGGTGAAAAACATTATCATTCAAAGCGATTATTTATTTCGATGAATTCGTGCAACGGTCAATGAATTCGTTGCAGGCTTCCCAGGACAAGGACCACAAGGACCACAAGGACCTTCCGGGCCTAGTTTTCCCGGACAACCTCAGCAGCCCTCCGGCCCAGGTAAGATAACGAAATTCCAGTCAAGGTGCAGAACTTCCCAATCATGATTTTTTCATCTCCAGGATATCCAGGACCAAGTCCACCTTCGGGACCAGGCTTCCCTGGAGGAGTATCTCGGCCAGGTATTCCCGGATATTTCCTAAATATCAATTATTCTCAGCTCCACTTGACTCTAATAATAACACCACCTATTTCCTCCATTACAGGCTATCCAGGAACAGGCCCACAAGGTCCCTCGGGTCCGGGTTACCCGGGCCCCGGCCCTCAAGGACCTTCACCCCCAGGTAATTTGTAGTAACACAAGCCTCAAACCTCCCAAATCAGCCCCAAGTAATTCTCAAAATCTCATCCGCAGGCTATCCAGGTCAGCGACCACCCGGCCCTCAAGGCCCATCCGGCCCAGGTAACCCCCTAGACCTCCGATTTCATTGAATAAAAAACAAACAGTAATCAGTGAAAAACTCATGAGACCAAATGCAAAATTCACACATGCTCATGAAATTTTGACGCAATTTTCGGCCATTTCGAAAATTACTTACAGTTTCTTGACTGTCTGCCACACATAACTAAATTTCCCGACATTTCCAAGAGATTCAACAATTCCGTAGCGAAGCAGTAAAATGGTTCACGTCGACTTCGACTACTGATTTGCCAATTTTTACTGAATATCTCGAAATCAAAGGGAGATGGCAAAATTTTCGTAATAACCTTTCTTGTAGCACTCAATTGGCTCTACAAAAAAGGTCATTACGAAAATTTCGCTATCTCCTTTAGATTCGGAGATATTCCTCGAAAACTCAGGGGCCAAGCGACTGGAGCTGTTTTACCGCTTCGCCACTGAATTTTCGTAATGAATCGTAATGAAAAATATTGTCATTGCAGGCTACCCAGGCCAGCCGCCGTCGGGGCCAGGCCCCCGGCCGCAGCGTCCAGGCGGCCCCTCATACCTGACCCCCCTCCCCCCCACCGATGGTTTCCCAAGTCGTCCCCCTCCAACCTCCGGCCGGCCGGGCTACCCCTCCCCGCCGGGGCCCTCGACCCCGCAGTACCCGACGACCCAGCCTGGCAGGCCCACCCAACCCGGACAAAACGGCTATCCCGCCCCAGGCAGACCGCAGACCCCCGGCACCTCGCCGGACTACCCAAGCGGTCGGCCCTCTCCCCCCACCCCAAACCTTCCATTCCCACCCGTAGGACCATCGAAACCAGACCGCGAATACCTTCCACCCCTAGCGGGTTAACTCAAGTCATCGCCGATAAAGAATGAAGGAAAAAAATCCATCGATGTCAACCCGCCATCAGCATACCCACCTGTTGGCGCTGGTCCCTGATAAGACAAAGGGCCTCCGACGAAAACCAGGTGGTGCAGCCCAGCTGCATCGAAATCATCGCCAGAGTCTTGACAATCAGAACCAATTTTTCAGTTTTTTTATCCCCATTTTTTAATGAATTGTCCATACGAGGAGAACTCCATCGACGCTGAGAATCCTCCTCGAGTATTAATTTACAAGAACGTATTTATTTATTCAGCTTTCCTAGAATCTAGAGAAAAGAAACAACGTATGCCCCTAGAGTTACCATAAACAGTTGGGACGATCAGGATGTGTATCGATGACTCGTAAACGACGTATTCCCGGGTGAAAGTGAATGCTGGTGTCTTCCATAATCCAAGATCGTAATCCCGGAGTTACCTGCATACGTCACACTGAAATACGATATGCAACTTGTTCCCGCTGAACAATATCATCTGCGGTTAGGCAATACATTAGGCATGACGTAATTGTAATGATAATTATACAATTATATGGTGATTGAAAAATATGAGAACACAAACGTTTTTGTAACAATGGTTTTGAGACACCTACTCGTGGGATGCCATTATGTATGATATTTTATACGTGAAATAAAGATATGAAAGACATCTTTGCAAGTCATCTTGCTTGTTTTTTAGATTTTACTCTCGATCCAACGGTTTTTGCTTCACTATTTTTCGTCGAATTGTGATGTACGAGGCCTTTCCCTTCTCTTATTCTCCTCTCATTACTGTAATTAGTCATTTCGAATTGTTAACAATCATGGAGTTACATAAACTCTGACACACGGGGTGCCATGATCTTAACGCGATTACTTTGAACTGCAGTGCAGAATTGCGTGGAATGCTCATTGTCATTAATTTCAACATTTTCAATAATTTTTCATCGTCGAAGTGGAGAGTTAATGTCGAGAATTAGTCTAGATTTTTCATTTTTCGATGGCAATTTTAATCATTGTGATTGCAAATTCATGTCTCGGTGCTGCAAGCTCGCGCGACCCTACGACCTTGCAATTACACGTTTCAAAAGTGCCAGGGAAGACCGGCAATTAGTTGTTGGAATACCCATGCTTACCATCGATAACCACAATGTGCGAGGTTGTTGCCTGTCTTGGAGGATCACGATAGATTCCAGGGAATTCTAAATGGGGGAGGTAATTGCGGAGTTGTTCATGGGTGTGTGGATACCCCACCCAGATATGTAAAACGATGGTCAGTTTCAATTCAGAGGGAGTGCAGTCATTATTTTAGATCCTTCAATTTCGTAATCTCTTTAAAATTTCCAGAATGTTAATAACGAGTGAGAAAAATTGAGTTAATTGAGTTAATTGCTGTCCTTTTTTTATGTTTCCCATCATTTTCTGAATTTTTCTGTAATTACCACGAACATCAAATGTGGAATTTTCATGATTTTTCCATAATTTATTTATCCCCTTTTCAACCCCCTTATAACCAAAGGATTGAAAAGAAATCTTTTGCAATCCTTCAAATTCGTCAATTCATTTAGAACACTAGAAAGAGAGAGAGAGCGAGAGGGTAAAACAAGGGAGAAAAATAAGAACGGAAATTAAAACAAAAGCAACATTAATCTTCAAGACATTTTTCGTTCAAGATATTTTCCTAGACCCGAAAATTTTTCCAAAAAATTGCAGTTATCCTAGTTCACCATTGCACTACAGAATTATTTTTGTAATCAATAATCACATCCTATCTGTGATGGGCATATCAACCAGTTTTAATTACCGTTGAATTGTGAAGTACATTCAACGGTTGTACATTTAAATTTCTAAATATTCTATCAACCAATAATTTAGGTAGGAAAATTGACGATTATTTCGATAATGGAAAATCAAGTAAAGTTAGAATTAGCTTGGTACCAAAAAATTACATTTCAATATTATCAAATATTTTATTCGCCACCAATCGGAAAAATTTGGTTATTAAATTCCAAGTGAAGCGGTCAATTTTTAACATAAATCTTAAAATTTTTAACATTAAAGTAACCATCAATTTGTACATTTAAATTTCTAAATATTCTATCACCCAATAATTTAGGTAGGAAGATTGACGATTATTTCGATAATGGAAAATCAAGTAAAGTTAGAATTAGCTTGGTAGCAAAAAATTACATTTCAATATTATCAAATATTTTATTCGCCACCAATCGAAAAAATTTGGTTATTAAATTCTATAATATTTTAAATTTTTTAAATATAGTTAAACTTTGCACAATAAAAGTACGGAATTCTTCTTAATATTGTCAGACTCTAATATTATTGGCCATCACTGATATTATATATCAGTAGCGAAGTGGTAAAAGGAGATAAGTCAATTTTGACTATTGACCAGTTTTCAATCAATATCTCAGAATCTAAGGGAGATAGCAAAATTTTCGTTACAACCTTTTTTGTAGAGCCGATTGAGTGCTACAACAAATCTAATTACCAAAATTTCACTATCTCCCATAGATTCGGACATATTCTTCAAAAACTCAACTGGGAGATAAGTCGACTTACCTCCGTTTACCACTTCACTATATATTTTTTATATATTCTTCCCTGGGGGTTCTAACAGTGTATAATGTCATAAAAATTTCAAAAAAGTACGGGAAATTTTCGCCACAACTCCGGAGAAAACCCCAAAAATGCGAAATCCTCTAAAAAGGAATTTCAAATGCATGACCTCTCATACTCTATGTGCAAACAGAAGTCCATAAAAGGTTGCAGTTTTTCATGGAGTATTATGGAAGAGCTTCTCGGCGGCCAACACGGTGGACTCTTGAGTATAGGTGGAGTAACGCAAGATTTATTGCCCTGTAAATGACGGGAGCGTCCCATTCGCGAGATGAAATATAACTCTCCAGGCTGGTTGGCGTTATGAGGGTCGCTCTTCTGATGCGTTCTCGTCTTCCACTAGTGTCCACTTCATACCGTTATACGGGGATTCTTGATGCCCGGGGGAGACTGCGATACAGGCCCTTGTCAACTTCCATTTGCTCGGCATATTTACCCTTTACACAGGCGAGCCAGTAATTTCTAGAACCACCATGCGACAGTTCAGACGAGTCCATTCGTCGTCGCATGACTACCAATCGTGGAATGTCCTTTGATTTCGCAAAAAAAAACAATTTTCAATAAATAAAATCACGACAATGAAAAAAACGAAATCGTGAAGTCACGAATTTCAAAGTGAATTTCAGATGCTAAAAAATAAAAAAATAAAAAATAAAAACCGACGTCGGTGGCCGAGTGGATTAGACGCAAGTCTAGTGTGCGAAAGGTTGTGAGTTCGATTCCCCGTGGAACCGAATTTTTCAACGGAAGGCTCCGGCGAGCGGGAGGTTGCTAATAGAGGAACCGCCTGTACCGGCATGGGTTTTCTGTGGTTTCCCCATGCTACTTCTATGTTCTATAGAAGTGCGAATGCGGTACAGTGTAGAATCCACAGCCGCATGCATAGGGTTGGATAGAGTGCCGAATGGGACCCGAAAAAGGGACTCTGAGGCCGTAAAAAAAAAAAAAAAAAAAAAAAAAAAAAAAAAAAAAAAAAAAAAAAAAAAAAAAAAAAAAAAAAAAAAAAAAAAAAAAAAAAAAAAAAAAAAAAAAAAAAAAAAAAAAAAAAAAAAAAAAAAAAAAAAAAAAAAAAAAAAAAAAAAAAAAAAAAAAAAAAAAAAAAAAAAAAAAAAAAAAAAAAAAAAAAAAAAAAAAAAAAAAAAAAAAAAAAAAAAAAAAAAAAAAAAAAAAAAAAAAAAAAAAAAAAAAAAAAAAAAAAAAAAAAAAAAAAAAAAAAAAAAAAAAAAAAAAAAAAAAAAAAAAAAAAAAAAAAAAAAAAAAAAAAAAAAAAAAAAAAAAAAAAAAAAAAAAAAAAAAAAAAAAAAAAAAAAAAAAAAAAAAAAAAAAAAAAAAAAAAAAAAAAAAAAAAAAAAAAAAAAAAAAAAAAAAAAAAAAAAAAAAAAAAAAAAAAAAAAAAAAAAAAAAAAAAAAAAAAAAAAAAAAAAAAAAAAAAAAAAAAAAAAAAAAAAAAAAAAAAAAAAAAAAAAAAAAGATGCTAAAAAATCTCACAAATAAAAAAATCAACAGGCAATAATTGTACAAACCCTAGACGTGAATTCAACTTCCGTTCATCCGAGTGAACACAGGATCATAAAAACCTAACAATAACTTGAACTCCACCCGGAGCGACCAGAAGCCAGTGGACTGACCTTACCTGTTGTCCCACCCGTGACAATGATGGTGGGAGAGACCAACCGGTTGTCGATAGCTTCCTGTCCCCCCAGAACCCAAGTCAACATGCTTTACACAGTGTTAACACGGTTGACACAGTCGTGTACCGAGATTTATGGTTGATGCACATCAACCAAAACAGCTGAGAGAGAAAGGGAGAGGTAATCATCACCTTTGGACACTCCCAAGCACCCCACTCGACCGAAAATTATATATTTTTTCTCTTCAAGAATTCCGCACCTTTACTGTGCGTTTTTTTTCTCGATCAAAAAACGCTTTCACACTGAGTGCCAGCGGTTTCCACAACAGATAAAACATCATTGGCATGTGTAATGTTATTATAATTACAATTGTTCCCACAGTTTATGATAAAATACTGCTGTAACGCTACGGAGACTTTGAATAATTCTGTGTCACAAGAGGTGAAATTGGCCCATTCATGCAAAGGTGGAGTAGAACAGTAGCTGTTACTCTCAAATTATGATTTTAGTTTTTTCACAGCTTGTGAAATTGATTCTCATCTCAATTAATTCATCAGGTGAGTTTGCATAAAATGGAGTTTACAATTTTTTTTTATTAAACCTTAGAAATCTAGTCACAGAGTTATTATTATTATTATTATTATTATTATTTTACTCGTAAATGAGATCGCTGAACGATCCTCGAGGGTTTCGACTTCACCTCGAACACCACTTATTATTATTATTATTATTATTATTATTATTATTATTATTATTATTAATGAAATACAATATGCATAAATGTATATGAGTGGTCCGTACTCATCCGACGTTAAGTTCACATTCTCAGAAAAATTTATCAATAACGAGTTTGGAAATGATGATGAGTGACTTTTATTACAAAATGCCAGAGGAATCATCCAAACAAACGATTGATCGATCTAAACTTCAGCATCACCATGAAATGATTCCTCGTTCGACAATAACAGGAATTGAAACGAGTTAACTTTTGATAGGTGGGCTCTATGTGGGTCAAGAAGACTCGTGTCTGGAGTGAATGCATAAAGTTCGAGCGAGATAATTGCCGGGTAAAGAGCGTCGTGAACTTTCGATCATATTGATTATTTGTCAGCTGTCCAAATGACTCGGCTATCGCCTCTAAACGTCTATCAATTTTTATTCAAATGTCTGTATATCGAGTGAGGGCTGGGGATTGGCCTTACACGCTGCTGCAATTACACAAACTGCAGTTGCAACGTCCTCGCAAGGACGTTTCGATCATTGAGCGCGATTGATCCTGAGGAGATTTATATCTCTGGGTGAATTTTAAAACGAAGGAGTGGAACGTCTGGTGATTGGGGGAATAATCGAGGGAATTAACGGGCACTTTTTCGTTGCGTCGTCACCAGAGATCGGCATAAATATT